GACCAGGTCTTAACAGGTCTGGGGACCAGAAGTCTGAAATGTGTCTTCGTAGGCTAAAATGAAAGTGTCAGCATGTCTGTGTCCCTTCTGGACGCTCTAGGGCAGAATCAATTTCCTTCACTTTTCCAGCTTCTAGAGGCTACCGACAGTCCTGAACTCAGGACTCTCCTCTTCCATTCGAAAGCCATCGAGGGAGGTTCACGACTTTCCATCAATTTGCTGCCATTAATTTGGTTCTCTCTATGCTTCTCTCTTCACTTATAAGAACTCTCGTGATTCCTTTGTACCCATATGAATAACCCAGAATAATCTTCCCATGTTTAGGTCAACTGATTAACAGCCTTAATTTCATCTGCAACCTTAACGGCCCTTTACCATGTAACCTAAAACATTCAATAGGTTCCAAGGATCAGAAAGCGAACATCTCTGGGGGGTGGGGAGACATTATTTCGCCTAACAGATAGGCTAGTAAATTTAGTGATGGAAAGAATGCTTTACATTTGTTGAGAATAAGAGTTCATTAGCTGAGAATAAGCAAGGAGAAAGGCATGAAACTATCTCTGGAAGTGAGAGAATAACATAATACGGCAAGGTCATGCTGTGGATCCATTTGAGGTTTGAGAAAATTAAATGAGGTTTTCTGGTTTTCTCAGGCCAAGTAAAATTGCTAGGGTAGGTATCTTTAATATGTAGAGGCAAGACAGAAGATGAAAATTAAACCATGATGAGGTGTGGGTAGAGTGATGAGGGAGCAAGTGGGCAAAGATTTGAATGTGTATGCGAAGGATTGATTACAGTGAAGAAGCACAGAAAGAAGTACAGATTGGGGGTGGAGGAGGGAGGAATGGAACTGTGAAGAACTGTAGCAAAACTCAATTTAAGTCACAGTGTGGTCAAAGAAATAGCTAAGGTAGACTACTAAAGGAAGTGAGTTATGCAGAGAAGGTGGAGATCAGAATGAGATGCTTATAATTTCTATGTTAGAGGACATGGAGTTTTTTATAATAACAAGTTCTAGGGCATGACCACAGGAGTGTGTGGTTGCTTGAGAAGGAGTGGAGGTACAGATTACTAGAGGAAAAAAGTGAAGGAAAGGAGAGGTCATGGATCATCTACAACTGGAAGCTAAAGTCATCAAGAATGTGAATAGGGGGTGCGTGGTGGCCGCCTGGGTGACTCAGTCGGTTAAGCCTCTGCCTTAGGCTCAGATTGTGATCCCAGGGTCCTGGGATTGAGCCCTGCATCGGGCTCCCTGCTCAGCAGGGAGCCTGCTTCTCTCTCTCCCTCTGCTGCTCTCCCTGCTTGTGCTCGCTCACTCTCTCTCTCTGTCAAATAAATAAATAAAATCTTAAAAAAAAAAGAATGTGAAGGAGGTAGTGATGAAAAGAAAGATAGTGAGACTGGTGATAAAGCAATGGGGGAATACTAAACTCTACCTCAGAAACTAATAATACAGTATATGTTAATTAAATTGAATTTAAATTAAAAAAAAATTTTTAAGAAGAAAAAAAAAGCCACTATAACAAAGACAAGCCTGGTGACAGAACCTGATAGCTTTCCTTTTTTCAAGAGCTCAAACTGTAAGGAAGAAAGGAAAGGGGCAAGGGCCACCGAAAATAAAAAGGATACCAACATCTCCTACATACCCTCTAGTACCACAGTATGAGAAAAAATATACCCACTTGAGATGGTTATAGGGAATGCAGTAAGCTCAAAGAATAGCCAGGTTCAGTAACAGTACCTTTCACAGGGAAACAGGAACTCTCAGAGAAAAGGTTGAGGATACAAAGGATTTTGCTGACCATGAGTTCCAGAAACTATAGCAGAAGAGTCTGGGAAACAGAGGGAGGGTGGGTCACAGTAGTGGGAAACTTGGATCAAATTAGGCTATGCACAAATCCCTGAATCTAGATGATGAGAGAGGACCTGAGAGGTTGAACTGCAGGCAAAATGAGGTTAACAGGGTAAAAGGCAGGACTGAATTAGTCTTAATGGTCTCTAAGTGGGTAAGTAAAATAAAAATAGTTTTAAGTACTGCCTCCTTAATGACATTAGCCTCTTAGCCATAGCGGCTTACAGGCTGCCTTCACACGCATTAGCTCTTCAATTTTCTCCATATCAAAGATAGATACCATGGCCCAGCATTTTAATTTCTTCCTTGCAAAATCCTTGAATCCTTCACTCTCTCCCTCTACGCCTGCCTGATTGTTGCTGAAGAAAAAAACAACATATCGTCTAATCTAACTTTAAATTCATAAACACACCATTTCAAATGGGCACTCAACACTCATCAGCTACCCTGCATTCCCCTAGCACATCTGCTTCTCCCACTTTCCAAAATGACTAGTATTTTATTTTTTTTTAAGATTTTACTTATTTATTTATTTATTTTGAAAGAGAAAAAGAGAAAGCAAGCTGGGGGAAGGGTGGAGGGCGAGAGAGAAAATCTCAAGCAGACTCCATGCTGAGCACGGAGCCCAACGTGGGGCTCCATCCCACGACCCTGATCATGACCTGATTCCGAAATCAAGAGTCAGATGCTTAATCAACGGAGCCACCCAGGCACCCTCCCAAAATGACTAGTATTTTATTTTATTTT